AAAAGAATTCACATCCTGGTTTAAGCTGTTCCATTAGGTAAACTGCCAGCTTTCTGTTTAACAAAAACAAGAGGCTGGGGTCACCGGAAGTAGCTGTGACCAAATCTGGTCCATCTAATGTGTGTAACAACAACCAAGATACCCCCCACCTGACCTATGACATCATGAGGCTAACAGCACACCTGGGCCAAGGGGAAAATGCCACCTGTGTGACCCACAACCCACCATCCAACTGAGGACGCACAGAAGAGTTGTTCCTACGGTGATTCAACCTGATGAACACCAATCAGATGCCAGTTACCAGTCTGCTGTATGTATTGACGTTAGGTACCATTCAGTCAGTTACAACTCATAACTATGCTACACACGACAGAACAAAACACTGCCCATCCTGCACCATCCTCAAATTGTTGTAAAGTGTGAGTCCCTTATTGTAGCCACTGTGTTACTCTACTCTTTTGATGGTTTTCCTCTTTTTTGCTGACCATCCACTTTCTCAAGCATAATGTCCTTCTCCAGACACTGGACCCTCCTTAGAAGACCCTAAAAAAAAAAAACACCCTGGCCAAGGACTCAGGGATCTGTGTTGATGGTATGAGTGGTTCTTTGCTTGGCCAACCAAGTAGGAATGTCTCTCACATTAGGCCTACAGATTTCATCTCTGTAGTCACACAGAGCTACAAAATAAGAGTTGCTTTGGCTTTACAGCATTTTTTGTGCATGTAGACTGGTCACTTCTTTGACTTTTGTGCTTCCTTTTTTCTCTTTGGCTCCAGATATATAGAGACCAATTACAAGTCTTAGAGGACTGCTTACAAACTTTTAAGAACCCAAATTCTACTCACCAGACTCAGATATAGAACATCAAATTCATGAACTATATTATGTCAATTAACAAAGTTGTCTCACAAAACTATGACCCAAAGCCTTCAAACCATGAGAGTTAATCTTGTGAGGGCATTGGTTATATTTAAGAAGTACCCATTTCTATAACCCTTATTTGTTTTGTACACAAACACCATCACTGGTGGTTGTTGCGAAATTATATAAAGGGGTTTAAAAAGTTCTTAGAGAAATTAAGATATAATCACAAGCTTCCACTAACTTTTTAAAGCCCCTTGTATAACATAGCATTTACCAAAATATTTTACATGTGTCCAAACTAGTAGCATCAGTAATTTTGGTTAAGCTGCACATGTCTTTCCCACATTCAGTGCTATCTGTGCCATCCTAAGAAATCACATTAAAAAATGACAAGAGAATGAATCTTCCCCTGTTCTCTACCACTAAGGACATTAGTCTCTGTAGACTTGTATATAAGTCACTTACAACATTCTTGTCATTTTATAAGTGAGAGCCTATAATATTTGTCCTTTGGGAATGGACTTATTTCACTCAACGTAATACCCTCTACGTTTATCCAGGCTCCAAGATGTTTCAGGAACTTTCTTTATGGGCTGCAGAGTAATTTATTGTATGCAGGTCCCATATTTTATTTATTCATTCATTCCCTACCATATATACCCAGGAGTAGAACTGCTGAACCATGAGGAAGCCCTATGTATTTCCAGTTTGGGGCACCACCATGTTATTTTGAAGCAAGTCTAAGACATATCCCTGGATGTGAAAATATTTCAGAATTTCTGTTAGATTTTAACATCAACCATTTAAATACCTGTCGTGATTTCTCTTGATGTGTCTTAAATCCAAGTAGAGGTTGGTTGCTCTGCAATACTGGAGATAACGGGAACACAACAGGCCCGAGTCACCCTGAAATAACATCAAGAAAAGGAAAAAGATAACTCCAAATATTAACATCATAAGGACTCACACAGACTTGCTAGATGTGTTGATGGTATGTGTGAAGGAGCTTCAAAAGTTCATGGAAAAATGAAATTTAAAAAATAATGGATTTTTTCATTAAAAAGTACAGGCTTACTGGTCTGACCGTGGTGTGGTACTGTAAGATCAGCACTGGACTGAGAGCCACAAGATCGCTGTTCAAACGCACCAGTCACTCCTCGGAAATCCTATATAGGGCTGTTATGAGTTGGAGGCGACTCAACAGCACTTAACAACAACAGCGCTTAACAACAACAACAATTGAACAGACAGAAACTGGTGGAACCCCAAGACTATGGCCCATGGTCACCCTTCAAGACTGGAACTGAACTCACCCCTACCGCTCAATTTTCAGACAAGCAATAGATAGATCTATGTTGTTAAGTACCATAAAGTCAGTTCCAAGTCATAGCGACCCTGCATACGATTTCTGAAAAGTAGCTAGAAGGTTTGAACCTTGTGGTTTGCAGTCCAGTGCTGATCTTACAGGACTCCACATAGGTATATGGCAGGAAGAATGACACTAAGGAGGTACACATATCAAAGAATGTTCAGCTATTCAAGATCAAAAGGGCAGCATTTACCCCAGGAGAAGCTTCAGAAGGGGTGAGAAACAAGAAGGAATGGGAAACAAGAAACACAGAGAGGAAATGGAATATGTGAGGTTACTTTGAAGACACTGCAATCATTGAGATGAAACAAGATATATAATTTATTGAATGTAAAATTAAGGGTCTGCTCTGGAAACTGTCACACAGCTCACAATGATGTTGTTGTTACTGTGGTTCAGTGTCGTGGAGACAGTTCTGATGCATAGAGATCCTGTACAGGCGGGTTTAAACCACCAACCTTGAAGTTATCAGTACAGTGTTTATCCTACAGCTTACTCTACAGAACTCCAATTCTTCCACCTACTTTTCGAGGTCTCTTGTACACCCTCAGATTCAAACCGCACTATGTGATATGAAAAGTTTCTCAAAGATGGCATCTGTTTAAGGGCAAACCTTGGCCAAATACCCATTTGCCAGTGTGCACACTTTTCATTTACTATGAAGAATTCTCAAAGGTTCTATTTTGATCCAAGAGCCATGCCATGGTAGTACAGCGGTTAAGTGTTCAGTGAGCTGCTAACTGGCTGGCAGTTGGAACCAGCCCAGGTGAGCATGAGAGAAAAGAGCTAGAAACATACTTCTGTAAATGGTTGTTGTTGTTGTTACGTCCATCGAGTAGGTACCGACTCATAGTGACCTTATGCACAACAGAATGAAACACTGCCCATCCTGAGCCAACCTTACTATTGTTGCCACACTTGAGCCTACTGATGCTGCCACGTTGCCAATCCATCTCGTTGGGGGTCTTCCTCTTTTTCTCTGACCCTCCACCTTACCAAACATGATATCCTTTTCCACTGACTGGTTCCTCCTGACAATATGGCCGAAGTATGAGAGACCAAGTTTGGCCATCCTGGCCTACAGGGGGTGCTCTGGCTGCACTTCTTAGGGTACAGCTTAGGAAACTCCCTGGGGCAGTTCTACTCTGTCACACGGCATCTCTCTCAGTCGGAATCGACACAACAGCACCAAACAACAACTATTTGCATCACCTCACTAGGGTTCAGCTCAGTAACACACCTATTGCTACCTACATGTTGTTGTTGTTAAGTGCTATTGAGTCATAGAGACCCTACACAGGGATTCTGAGGAGTGACTGGTGGGTTTGAACTACTGATCTTGTGGCTCAACTGACCTTATGGTTCAGTGCATATCCCACAACACCACACCAGGACTCCACCACTGCTGTTGTTAAGTGTTACTGAGTCAGTTTAGACTCAAGCCAACCCTGTATAGGGTCTCCGAGGACTGGCGGGTTTGGACCACCAACCTTGAGTTTCAAACCTACCTTGCAGTAGAGGGCTTATCGTACAGCACCACACACGGACCCCTCCATAGCTATGTAAAAAATAAAGGATTTTTTAAAACAAGGCATAAAAAGCTCCGGTGGTGTACTATTTACGAGTTGGATTGCTAACCTCAGGGTTAACAGTACGGAACTACCAGCCATTCCGCAGGAGAAACAGGAGGCTTTCTGCTCCTGTAAAGATTTACAGCCTCGAAACCCCTATAGAGGGTCACTATGATTCCACAGCACACCACCACCACCACCACAAAGACAAGTCAAACAAAACACGGGAGACCACACATGTAAGAGACACAAAATTCATGGCAGGAATGGTATTTACCAATATCCATAAAAGGTTCTCTCTGAAAACTTAACACTTGTTGGAGACTTTGATGCAACAGTGATAGAACAACAATATTATCTAACTGAACAAAGGAGTTTAAGAGTCTGATTTCGAACAGGAACCACACAAGGATGCCCTCTGTCACCACTCCTAATCAATACTGTGCTGGAAGTCTTAGCAAGAGCTATACATACGGCAAGACAGGGAAATTAAAAGCATCCAAATTGGCAAAGAGGAAGAAAAACAATCTCTCTATTTGCAGATGATATGATCCTATACATAGAAAACCCCAAAGACTCAGTAAAAAAGCTACTAGACCTTATTCGAAGATTCAGCAAAGTGGCAGGATATAAGATCAACATACAACAATCAGTTGGATTCCTCTACACCAAAAACAACAGTGTTGAAAAAAGAAAGGACATTAGGAAAGCAATACCATTTACAATAGGCACCCAAAGGATGACATATTTAGGAATAAATGTAACCAGAGAAACAAAGGATTTATACAAAGAAAACCACAAAACACTACTACAAGAAACCAAAAGAGACCTAAAAAAATGGAAGAATGTACCATGCTCCTGGATAGGTAAACTTAACATTGTGAAAATGTCAATACTATCCAAAGCAATTTACACATATAATGCAATCCCAATCCAGATTCCAAC